GGACAAAGGAGTTGCAACAGTAGTACTCATTGAACAAGAGGATCACATTAATGATTTTCAAAAATGTGTTTGTTTTTCTCTAATCGACACTATTCATCGGCCAACTAGTCCATTTTTTTTGTTTCACCTTATTGCAAAATGTATTTCATCGATTTTTATTTAGCTGTTTAGATGCTCCTATTCATCAAATGAGAGATAGGCCTACATTTTTTGGGTTTGTGTTTTTACAAATTAGTTTTTTCTCTCTTACAATCACAATGTAACATTTCGCATTGCTTGCTTTTAGCGAAGCGCAGCGAGCGGGCATATCAAGTCTAATAAATAGGAAACTTACATATGTCACAATTTGTGCAAAAATGAAATTCATGTAACTCTATTTTCATGTTTTAATGATGGAGAGTTCTATTTTATATCGTTGAAACATTTGAACTCCATACCAAATACCTCATAAAGTATGGTTGGTGGAGTTGTGGAACTAGTTGATCGTATTAGTTAATGGTTAATGGATTTATGTAAAAATTATACATGTGAATATTCTTTGATATGCTAGAAAATAAAATTTGTCGGTTCATATTATGTCAAAATTTCTACCAAGAAACACCACTCTATTATTAAGACGATATAAATAAATAAGTGTTTACCTATTTGGATTACACATATCTCGATCCAAATCCAATAGTTATTTTGTCTCATTCTATCTCAACCTAGTTATTTCTCAAATATTTCGACTGCCTCTAATTTAGCGAGAGATAAATTATTTCAAATTAATAATAAATTTGTATTTTATTGACATTTAAGAAATCATATTCAGCTTATAGCACATCACATGATGTTAGTTGTATATCAAAATATAAAAATAATGATGTAAAAGTATTAAAACAATTACAACATACTCTTGAAGCTAATGGGTAGTAGTGATGGTAATTTGAACTCGTCATGTCGGGTATTACCAGACCTCATTCGTTTTGGGGCACTTACCGGAAAATGCTCGATCTCTTCTGATAAACCATCGACCGCTTCCAGAATAGTCGACTAGATCACTTCCCATCTATGTAATGTCGAAAAATAATGGACAACAAGAGGCCTACAATACGAAATTATTTTGTAGTAATGCAACATCTTGTCACCCGTGGACTACCCAATCTCTACCAAGACTATCGGCCTAAAAAAAAGAAGATAAAACGTCTTTTAACAGTTTTGGATAAGAATCGGCAAAAGCAAGATGATAGGAGATTTGTGGATGTTGAAAATGATACAATTGAATAACAAACAATGATACCCTACTTTTTTAAGTCTCTTCATAACAATAATAACATGAAAGATGCTCCATCGTAATACAATTATAGAATTACAAGCACAAGCAAATGTTGAATTTGAAGAAAAGACGAAAGATTGTATAGAGTAAGTCATATCTAAGAAACAAACCTGCACAATAGTTTCCTAATTTCTGGAAGAACAAGCACTTAAGAAACTTCTCTTGTATACTTCAAGCTTTTTACTCAGTCCAACTCTCTTACATCAAATATATCCATTAACATTAGACATTTATAATCGAATACACCACTTTCATTGGCAATGGTTTATATGGTTGATGATATTTTAGAAACGGTTGACCATTTGTCAGAAGCAGCCGACAGTTTGTCCGAAACAATCGACCATTTTCTCCAAGTGTTTTTTTAGAAAACACTTATGGGTATTCATTGAATTCAAGAATCAATTGCTTCAAGGCCTACAACATTAGCAACCATCACTGGTAAGCTATTACAATCAAAACGAGATTTGTCAGAGTCAGAGACTAAATGGGCTAACAAATGAGCAACGTTGTTTGACTCCCTAAACACAAACATCCAATCACGAACTTCCAAATCTTCCGCCTCCTTCAGAATATCCGAACAGATGCTTTCCAGTTCTGTTCTGCAAAATTTGCCATGTTTTCACAGCTGAACAATCTTCCTACAATCCGATTCCACAACAATCGGTCCAAGACCTTTCTCCTTCACCTATCTAATACCATAAAGAATGGCCATACCTTAAGCAAGATCTGGAGTCCACTTGACATTGAGTCTCCTACTAGTAGCAAAAACATCTTTACCCTCCCAATCCCCGAGGATACATCCCAACCCCACTTTGCCTCTGCTGCTCACCCCTGCATCTATGTCCAATTTGAAAACTCCAATAGGGGGCTTCTTCCATTTTCGAGCATCTCTTTGCCTGGACATAGGAGGAGGTTGGTCTTTTCCCTGAACTTCATGAACAATGGATAAACTCGTCATCCCATGGGAAGACTTGCCACTCCTCCAGGAATTTCTTGTTGAACAGGAAGTTATTTCTATCATTCTAGAAAACCCACAGCAAGGAACTCAGCTGGGCCACCTCCTTCCGAGAATAGTCATTAATAACAAGAGAGAGCCACTTCTTACATGTAAGACCATCCACCTTGTATAAAATCTCAGCCATCGGAGTTTTACTCCAGATTATGCAGTTCCAACTACAATCGACTAGGCAATGCTCAAGGGTTTCCTTGAGACCATATTTTGGGAATTCATCCCCCAATACTTTAACATTCTCGGTTATTTTGACACCCACAGGTAAGATGTTATGAGCTGCTTTCCATAAAAACATTTTAAGTTTCCCAGGCATGCTCACCTTCCAAAGCTTCTTCCAACATAAATCGTCTTCATTTCTTTCGTTGTATCCAACAACCTCCTCTTCTTCTCTTCTTTGCTCGAAAATACCATGTTTTAACTGTGTATTTCCCATCTTCAGCTTCTGTCCAGAAGTATCCTTGTTATTTGCGGAGGAATCGCCATGATAGCCTGTCTTTCCTCAGGAGTACAACAGTCTTCTCCAAATATAGCTCGGGCGCCACCCCAATTTAGCTTCTAGTATAGAGGTTCTTGGGTGGTATTTCGCTTTGATCAATCTCGCCACAAGAGAGTTAGGCCTGATATGCAGGTTCCAGAGTTCCTTAGCCAGCATCTCCTTGTTGAAGATCCTTAAATCCCTAAACCCCATACCACCCTCTTCTATTTTTTTGCACAGCTTTCCACATTTTTTCCAGTGGATTCTTCTATCAGAACCTTTTTGCCCCCACCAGTAGTTATCCATCAGGATATGAAGATCAGCAATGATACCATCAGGTATGTTAAATACCGACATTGATAAGTAGCTTGCGCTTGGGCGATGCTTCTGATTAGAATCTCCTTTCCTGCATCGCAGAAGTACCTACTCTTCCAATTTGTCAGTTTATTTCTCACCCATTCCTATAAGTGCTGGAACACAATCTTCTTTGACCTCCCCATCATCGTTGGTAGCCCAAGGTACTTTGCTAGTTTATCCACTTTCTTAACGCCCATTTCAGCGCACAGTTCTCTTCTCTTGTCCTCCTTTATGTTGTTATTGTAGTGGATTCAGACTTGGTAAGATAAACCATCTGTCTTGATTCAGCTTCTTAAAGATTAAGGACCTCTTTCAGCTACTTGGCTTCATTGAAACTCGCCCTAGCAAGCAGAACACAATCATCGGCGAAAAGCAAGTGAGAAATAATAGGGGCTCTATGGCAAATCTTAATTCCATGAATTTTCCCCTCCCTTTTATACTTATTATCAAGCGCTGATAGACCCTCTGAGTAGAGAACGAAGAGGTACGCAGAGAGCGAATCTCCCTGCCGTAAACCTCTCCGTGGCTTGAAGAAATGAGATTTGTGACCAATTACCAAGACTTGCATAAGAAACAGAAGAAACACAAGACATAATCAACTTGATCCACTTCTCATCGAAACCCAATCTTCTCATTATTAGTTCAAGAAAACCCCATTCCACTCGATCGTAGGCTTTTGACATATCGAATTTGAGGGCCAAGTAACCCTTTTCACCTTTGGTCATCTTCTTCATGGCAAAGAAACATTCGAAGGCTGCAATCATGTTGTCGATAATTGATCTCTCAAGGACAAACGCACTCTGCGATTCACATATCAGATCATCCAGAACCCCTTTCGAGCGATTAGCTATAGTTTTTGACAAAATTTTATAAAGTACAGTACAAAGGCTAATCGACCTATACTCTTTGGGGGAGACAAGATCCTTTAGCCAGGACACTCCAATTCTTATGGAAGAACAAAGGTGGGAATTTGTCGTCTCCCGAAGCTTTGGTGGCTCCCATCTGGAAGATCGCCATCTGGACTTCTTCAGTAGTAGACGGTCTCGGGAGCTTTTGGTTCATATTGTCGCCACCGTCCCTCCGGGGTCGAGTCTCGTTCTCTTTTTGGAGTCGCCATCGATCTCATACTTAGCAAAAATGGGGGGAAAATGCGTATAATACGAGTATCCCCGTTTCTGCCGAATTTTATGTCGTTTATCATTTTTTAATTGTTCAGTCCGTATTGTACGCATCAATTAATCTCTCCCCGAATGTACGGCAATTAAACGGAATACCCGACCTAATTAAACTGACGTACGGTGGAACACTAAAATTGACATACGGAGACAAAATTAGGTTTCCTCTGCAACTTTTTCTTTTCGCCGCCAGTTCATCACCCATCCAGGAAAATCATACGAGCTAGCTACCTACTAATTCCAATCGGCTAAATTACACGTTTGGTCACTCAAATTATACAAATGTTTCACGTTTGCCACCTGAATTACTTTTCTTTCTTATTCGCCACTAACTTTACGAATGATTTCACCGTTAGTCACCGGATGTTACACTCCGTTAAATTTGTCTTGCGTGGCAGTCAACTATAAAGTTTGACCGTTAACTAGATGACGTGGAAATTAAATATATAAAAAATAATATTTTTTCCACCTCATCATCTCTACCAAAGACCCTCAATGAACTTCTGATTCATCGCCACCGGCACCCTCCAAAAAATCATCATGCTCGTCGCCCTCGGAATCAGGACCAATGTCACCAAATCCGGCATCCTCAAGTGATTGATTACCATATTCTGCATCTCCACTTTACCCACCCCCTTGGTGATGGGAATTCCTGTGCTAATCGCCATGTACGGGCCTTCCGCGGAGAGTTTGATGGTACAAGTCGTCATCTTGCAGTGTATCATTTGGTACACTCTGCTTTTTTCCTGTTCGAGTACAGGGGGGCCAAGATTTGATAATGGAGCAGTTCCCCGAAACGGCGGGTCGATAAGGTCGACTATGACGTCGTTTCGCTCGACTAGAGGGAGTTGTTGGAGACGAATGCTGAGATAGAGGACGATGGGAAGCTTCATGTCAAGATGAGGAAGTCGAATGTTTCGAGGCAGTCCGTTTCCGGGTTGGGGCTCGGCGGGAATGGTGGAGTCGGGTCATTTTCCGGGTTGACCCCTCGCCCGTCGAATTTGTCCGGCACTGAGATTTACATCCTGAGCTCGTCGTGGAATCCGACTCCCAGGGGTTGGAATTTGAAGCTGGCGGATTTCTATTCGATGATGGGAGTCCAGGGGTTTGGGTCGGGGCAGGGTCAGAGGGTTTAGAATTTCGGGGCGGCGAATTTGTACTTTGTTCAGTCCTCCCGCGGGCCGATTCCCTGGCCGTCGAATTTCGAGGATAATTGCGATAATATGGCTACGACGTGTCTCCGAGGTTCGGGTACTACCCTGCTCCGAACCCCGAATTCTCTTCCGCCGCCGCCTCAGTTGCTCTGACGAAGGGAGCGAAGAGCAATACTCTGGTGGCAGGAGCAAGGGCGACATTACACCCGAGTAGCAACAATGGTGGCATCGGAAAATCGAATCATGACGCCAAGGAACATATGTTCGTTTGGAGCTCCATGTTTTCGGCGGATTTATGAGTCTGATCAGGGCGTCAAAGAAATTAGGATGCTCGTCGCCAATCATCCGCAAAACGGAGAAATAGCTAAAGGTACCGACTTTTTAGTTTTCTCTCTATTTACTAATTTATTTGTTTTTCTTAATTTTTTTTAATTTCCACGTCATCTAGTTAACGGTCAAACTTTATAGTTAACTGCCACGTATGACAAATTTAACGGAGTGTAAAGGCCGGTGACTAACGGTGAAACGATTCGTAAAGTTAGTGTCTGATAAGAAAGAAAAGTAATTCAGGTGGCAAACGTGAAAAAAATTATATAATTTGTGTGACCAAACGTGTAATTTAACCAATTTCAATCCAATTTCCAAGTTCCAAGTTCCATTCCAAGCTCATCTCCCATTACCCGCCGATAGCCTCATAGCCATAAACTGCAATCTTGAAGTTGAAGGTGACTTTTGGAAATCTCTTTCTTCTTAATTTACTGAGGCAGTTTTCTTTGTTTTTGTCGTTTAGGGAAGCCATCAGGCAGATTTTTATTAATTGGAATCAAAAAGTTCCATTATTCATTACAACATCACATATATATAATAACTACAAACTACCTATATAGTACTCACAGTTTACATATTTACAGTAATAGCTATAAACTAATTAACAACTACATCTAGGTCCTCGTCGTTTCCTCCTTGGACAACTCCCCCCCGCAAGCTGGCGCGTATATATCAAGACGTCCCAGCTTGACCTGCAACTGCTGAAAAACATGAACTGGAAGCGACTTTGTAAACATGTCAGCCAGCTGATTAACAGAGGAAACATGTAAAACTTTAATCACACCATCAAGAATTCTATCCCTAATAACATGACAGTCAATTTCGATATGTTTTGTACGTTCATGATTGACTGGATTATCAGCAAGTTTGATAGCAGACATGCTATCACAGTATATGGGAGTAGGAGAAGAGAAACTGATATGCAAATCACTCATAACATATCTGAGCCATAAGATTTCACAAGTCAAACTAGCCATTGCTCTATATTCAGCTTCAGCTGAAGAACGAGAAACAGTCTTCTGTTTCTTTGAACGCCAACTGATTAGTGAATTCCCTAATAATACACAAAAACCTGTTGTAGACCTGCGTGTGTCTGGACATCCAGCCCAATCACTATCACAAAATGCATTCAATTTAAGCTCAGAAGAAGCAGAAAAGAAAAGTCCTTGACCTGCAGTGCCTTTGATATAACGTAACACACGTTCAGCACCTTGCATATGTAAATCAGTGGGGCTGTGAGTGAACTGACTCAATTGATGCACGGAATAAGCCAAATCCGGTCGTGTATTGCATAGATAAAGCAACCTACCTACCAATCGTTTATAAACAGAAGGGTCAGAAAGTGTGTTACCAGCAGTAGCAGAGAGCTTAATACCTGGAACAGACGGAGAATCACAAGGTTCTGCACTAAGAAAACCATAATCGGTTAATAAATCTAAAGCAAATTTCCTTTGATATAACAAAATACCCTTCTCTGTCCTAGCAATCTCTAGTCCAAGAAAGAATTTCAATTCACCAAGGTCCTTGATAGTGAAGGTTTGATCCAATTTATGTTTGAGATCAGTAATAGCTTTGAGATCGTTACCTGCCAAAATGATGTCGTCAACATATACGAGGGCAATGGTAAAGGATTTCTCATGACTACGGACAAACATAGAATAATCTGCCTTAGACTGTTTGTAACCAGCAGCAGTTAAAAAATTGGACAACTTAATATTCCATTGGCGACTAGCCTGTTTTAACCCATATATAGATTTGTTAAGACGACAAACAGGGTTTTTAAAACCAGGGGGTACACTCAGACCTGGGGGAATCTTCATGTAAACCTCTTCATCAAGGTCTCCATGAAGAAAAGCTGTATTAACGTCAAGTTGATGCAAATTATTAATAGCAGCTAAAGAAAGAACAAGACGAACAGTAGTGTGTTTAACAACTGGAGCAAAGGTTTCTAAGTAGTCTAGGCCAGGGGTTTGAGTGTACCCCTTAGCTACTAAGCGAGACTTAAACCTTTCTATCTCACCATTTGAAAGAAATTTAACTTTAAAAACCCACATGTTTCCTATGGCAATCTTACCATCAGGTAACTCTACAATTGTCCATGTATTAGTTTTATCTAATGAAGCTAATTCAGAATTGCAAGCTTCTGACCACCTAGGATCCTTAATAGCTTCTTTGTAAGACCTAGGTTCTAGAATGGCAGAACTGGCCAGAATATACTTTTTGTATGCTGGGCTGAGTTTATCGAAAGACATGACTTGAGATATAGGGTAAGTAACCCCATCACATTCAACAGTACAAATATAGTCATTAAGCTTTTTAGGACGCACCTTAACACGAGGAGGCCTCGCATATGGTGGAGGCTCTACTGCTTGAATTATGTCAACCAGATCTAGGGGCTCCTCAGGAAATGGTAAATGTGTATCTAAACCATTATGTACTGGTGAAGAATGGGAAGTAGATGGATTATTATTAGCCACTGTTTCTTGAACTTGAATGCAAGGAAAACAAAAGTCAAAGTCGAGTGTGGAGTTAGAGGACGCAAAAGGAAATACATGCTCATGGAAAACAGTGTCTCGTGAATAAAAGATGTTATGGGAGACTAGGTTATAAAGCCTATGCCCCTTAACAGTGTTGATGAACCCTAAGAAAACACAAGGATCAGCCCTAGGGGCAAATTTGGATCTGTTATGTTGCAGGGTAGATGCAAAAACTAAACAACCAAAGACCTTGAAATCATTATAGACCGGTTTGGTGTGAAAAAGTAATTCATAAGGGGAAAGATTTTGTAACAAGGGAGATGGCATTCTATTAATCAAGAAAACCGAGTGTAAAACAGCAAAGCCCCAAAACTTAATAGGAAAAGAAGCCTGAAACATAAGAGCACGAGCTACAGCTAATATATGCTGATGTTTCCTCTCAACACGACTATTTTGTTGAGAGGAAGCTACACAAGTTGTTTGATGTATAATTCCAAACTTACTGTAGAAGGTTGGAACATTAAATTCTTGCCCATTGTCGGTTCTGATTGTTTTAATTTTAGAAGAAAATTGAGTGTTAACAAATGCTGGCAGATCTAACATGATTTGCCGAGCTTCACTCTTTGTTTTGAGTAAATAAACCCAAGTATGTCGTGAAAAATCATCAACACAAGTAAGAAAATACCGAAAACCATCAATAGTAGGAGTTTGATAAGGACCCCATATATCTAAGTGAAGTAATTCAAACGGATTAAGAGCATGAGATGTACTAGAGTGAAAAGGAAGCCGTTTTTGTTTTGCTAAAGGGCAAACAGTACAAGGAGTTTTATTAATACTAACAGAAGGTTTAACATCCTTGTCTAAGAACTGGGATAGAGGAATGGCAGTATGGCCAAGCCTATAGTGCCATACATCAAAAGGAACAAAATCTGTATTGAAACAAACATTACAGACAGATAGTGGAGGCTTAGGAAGTGGCATGTTGAGATGATATAGGCCAGATTCTTGCTTAGCTGTACCAATCGTTTCGAGGGATGAAAGATCCTGAATTAAGCAAGAATCAGCAGTAAATTGTAATGAACAATTTGAGGTTTGAACTAATTTGGATACTGAGATGAGATTGAAAGTAAAAGCAGGGATGTATAAGACATCATATAAGGTCAGTTTTGGGGTAATATTAAGGTTGCCTATGTGTGTAACCTGAACTTTTACACCATTGGGTAAAGAAACTGACATATTGTTTATAGTTGTATATGTTTGAAATAAATGTAGAACAGAAACAACATGATCAGTAGCACCACTATCCACTATCCAATCCATAGAAGTTAAGACGGAATTAATAGAGGACAGAATCATACCAGTGTCTTCTGTGGGAACCAAGTTAACCCCAACAGGTTGTGGAATGTAACCAGAATCAGTTGCCTGAGGAATTATCTCAGAATCAGCAGGCTGAGGAAGAACTCCAGAAGCAGCAGTCTGAGGAAGAATTCCAGAATCAGCAGATGGATGAGTGCGAACTTCTGATGCAGGAGTGATCTGTCTAGCTGAAGTGACCAAGTTGGCTACAAGAGTAGCAGAAGAGCGCTGAACATGCTGGAATTGAGTCTGAGTTAAGAGAGACTGATACTGAGCTCTAGATAATGTCACAGAATCATCAGCTACCATTCCAGAAGGCTGATTAGGAGAATCAGAATCAACCACAGCATTAACCCTACGATGCTTATATCCAGGAGGATAACCATGAAGCTTGTAGCAGCGATCCACAGTATGTCCATATCCTTCACAATGTGTACAATAAGGCCTCTTCTTACCCCCACCAGGACCTTGAGCAGATAAACCCTGACCCTTGCCATGACCAGTAGACTGCCCCTTCGAATTGCTATGAGCAGCAAGAGCAACAGGTAGGGAAGATGGAAGTGCAGCCTGACGTTCATGTTGAGCTAGGCTAGAAAACACCTTATTGATGGACGGTAGTGGATCATTTAACAACAACTGAGACTTGATATGCCAAAAACTTTCATTCAATCCTTTCAGAAATCGAATGACCTGATCCCTACGCACATACTCTCGTGGAATTGACGAAGCTAGACAAGCACACTTAGGGTTACAAGTGCATACAGGCAGGGGTCTGAGAATCAAGAACTCTTCCCAAAGTACTCGAAACTTGGTAAAGTAAGC